GTGCACACGCGGGCATATGACTCTTGCGAAGTAACATCGAGACCGACGAAGGAGGTATAGTCTGGCACAAACTGCTGCCAGAGCTCTGAATAATAAATCTGGGATGATCGTCAGCTCTCCTCGATCAATCAGCCCTTGAACTGACAGTGCACATCCATGGCTTGAAGATGCCGTTCCAATGCAGCACGACTGCATCCTCCACGTCCTGCGCGCTTCGCGTGATGGGCAGTCCCTCGTCGTCCTTTAGGCCGGCAAGATCCATAAGGTTGTACGAATCGTCGAGAACCTCGTAGTTTCGATAGAACACAGAATTGAAAGGCGCGTGCGAGCCGAGACTGTCAAGCTTAGTATTCGTCTCAGTGCTGATCCAGCCGCAGAGTTCACTTGCAAAGCGGCCATCTCGCCACTGCGTGAGGTCATACAGCAGCACCCCATCATTGAGAGTGCATCTATCACGGTGGAATCCATCGAGCAGATTCTCGCGCATGTCGGATTGCTTTCTGAACAGAGCAGCGTCGCGGCATAGCTCTGCTCCTGCCAACGGTCGGCCTGACATGTCTTGTCGCCAAAGCCGTCCGATGTCCTTCAGGACGAGGGTGTCCTGATCAAGATAGATTACGCGATCAAAGTCGGGAAACAGCTGACCGAACATGTACCGCGCATCGACGATTGGCTCGACATCGCTGTTGTTGCGATGACCCGCCTGAAGCTGCGCCGGCAAAGGCACCATGTTCGGCGAGATAGTGTACGTTTGTAACCGGATGCCATTGAAACGCGTGCGTAGCAAGCGCCGCAACGTTTCTGAAGATTCTTGACTTGTAGAGATGATATGCCATTGCAGTCGAGAACGTGTGTCCGAAGAACCTCTTTGAATAGTCGAGTTGATGAGAGCAAGACTTCCGATGACATCGTCCGAGTCAAGCGTGAGTGCGATATGGATGTCCGACCGAGCAGCTAAGCGCCGATATGACGCTTGCAAGGATTGTAGACGCTGCAAAATATGACACATCAGTGCCGAGAAGACGCTTGCCTAGCTCTGACACACTTCTGTTGTGTTGAGCTGATCACGAACGGCCGGGACCTGCCACAGAGTCCAGAGTGTCGCGCAGAGCGCAAACAGGATCAACCGTAGCCTTGGCATTCTGCAAGCTGCCAAATTTGCGTCGCGAGCCGCCCGGATGGCCGCCTTGTCCAACATGGCTAGCGGGCCACAAAAAGACGCCAAGATTGAAAGAGCCTTGCCAACTTGTATCGAGCTGCTGATGCAGCAAGACGGGCTGGCAGACTGCCGCAGGAGTCTCACTGAATATGTGCACGCGCGATGTTCGTAGACATCATGGACGGGAGCTCGGCCTCTGACGTGGGCTTGGCCGCTTGAGAGGCCAAAGAGGCATCACAAATGGGAATGCGATCGGCAAAAGACGTGACGCGCCGAATGTACGCGGCTGCTCTTCGGGCTGCAATGATCGATTGGCTAAATCCGACTCCGGGAGCAGCACGCTAGAACCTCAAAACAGCTCCTGCATGATCGACAACTCTAGATCTATGGTTGTCGACAGTCTGAGTGTCACCGAGATCAGCTCGAGGTTCCGGACACGTGACGAAGAAAGATGACTTACACCGCGCACCGTCCTTATCGGAACACCAGGAGTCGCCAGGCGGTATCGGCAATTTCAATATGCGATCTGGCAGAGTAGGATGTCGCTGGAACTTCGACCGTTGCGGCCAGACGGTACGCTTTCCGAAGATTGAGTGTAGCTGCCTGATGCAGTCGTGCCGCGCATCACGCCAGATTGTGGAGCTGATGCCCTGAGATAGTCCGGCGCTGCAGACTCATATCAGGGAACCGAATGCGCGCACTGACGAGGGGACGCACAACATGGTCGAAGTGATCTCGGTGATATTGGATTTCCTGCTCGATTCCGTTAGCACGCGTCCATCGCCAATGCAAACGTAATCCCCACATCCATAGCGGCGGCTTGTGCGACAAACTGCCCGCAAGGAAATTCATCGCCAGATCCTCGCAGGGCGTTTTGTTCGTAAAGTCCATCAGGACATTGCTCGAGCTATAATCTTCCATGTATCGCACATGCGTGAAGAAGGCTTTGCCGATCTGCCATGAACATATCAGGAGAGTCGTGTCTGTAGCATGGGGGACATACGACCAGGTCAAAGTGAGCTTGTCGCATCTGGAAGCGGTAGTGACATGTTTCCATATCATTGGGATCCGCGCAGTCTATCACGCGAGGTTCGAAGCCGAGCAGCTGGTCTCGATGCCGCCGCCAGATCCTGAAGCCAGCTTCTAGATCGGCCAGGGGAATGATGAGGTCATCGTCGTAATGCAACACCGCATCTGTCGCGACGTGTTGCCATACTCTGAATCGATTGTGAACTAAATTCGACTCTTGCTGCACACATGTCGCTAGATGCTGTAAAGAAGCTGGGCACGGATGGTCCTGGTTGTTCCAGGCGATGATGATGTCGCGGATGAGATTACTCTTTCGCAAATGATGGGCGATTCGCATGAGATTGTCTTCGCGGGCGTGAGACACAATGACGACAGTGAACTGCTCTTCGTGATGGGATAATGACTCGTCGCTAGTCCAGATGCCTTCTGTGCACACGCGGGC